AATTGATTTCCTGAAGATTGACATACCTGATTTGAATTATTTAGAACCATTTCTTGTATAGCTTCAGATGTATTTTTGCTGACATAAACCTTGCTTGAACAAACTCCTGTTAAATCAGTTGGTAACTTTGGCACCGTTTCAGGTACGCTTGTTTTTTCATCAGTATCTTGAACAATTAAGTCTACTGTCTGTTCTTTTCCTTTAGGACTTAATTCACAGGCATTTACTGGATTATTTATAAGAATATTATATGCTGATGATGGCCTAGAACGCCTTCGATGCATTTTAGGACTCAGGCTTGGCTCTGGGCTAGGTAATATGGCATATGAACTAGTAAGACTTTTGATAACATTATTTTCAGTAACAAAAGTGGGAATGACTTTAAAATCAGAATCAGGATTTGAAACAGTGGGGTGGCCAGTTCCCACAGCTATGTCTGCTTTAGAAAAACTACCCGAAACTGCTGTGTTCATGCTGCTTGCTTGAGCGGAAGCACCTTGGAGAAGAACATTTGATTTATTAAGGCTTGGTTTATCAGGAATCACTGAACTACAGTGTTTGCCCATAAACTGGGTCTTCTCCTTTACACAGTCAGTCACTTTAACGGCATCATTTTCTTTGTCTGAATGACTCTCATTAACACTTCCATTTGCACTATTTCTCAGACTGCGTCTAGATTGTTCTTTCTCTATATATTCCTTTGACTTTTTCATCAGGTTCTGGAGACTCATTAAGTAGGGATCCGGAGTAACTTCTTCCAAAAGTGATGGATCCTGTTCTTCATTTTTTGGGAGGAGACCACCAGAAATAAGAGTCTCTTGTGGGGTTGCTGAGGTCTTCAGAGAAGCTTCATTTTCTATACAACCAATATTTGAACTACTACCTTGCTTCAGAAAATTAAATTTTTCGGAATCCCTAGCTAAGTCTATTCCATTAGATTTAAATTGGTCCTCATTATTCAATGGCAAAATTCCAGTTATCTTTTCAAACTTTGCTAAAGTAGAGTGTTCGGTAGAGCTTGGCAAGGTATTTGGGAAGGTAGCAGGAACATTCAAGTTTCTGACTTCTGAATTAGAGTAAACTGTTTCATCCTCCCACTGATCAAAATCACTGGCATTAGGTGCTTTTCTAACCTGAAAAAAGAAATTTAAAAAGTATTAATTCCTCATTGCAAACACCTTTGATTTTATTGTTTTCTAAATAAAACTAAAATTTAAAATTCAGAGTTCTAATATTTGAAAACACAAATAAAGACTAAGATTACCTTTTTCTATGGTATCCTATACCACATGGAGCTCAAATTACTATAAATAACATCTAGTGGTCATTCCTGCCTACTTATTAAGATTTTTTAAAAAATTATCCTGGTAAATTTATGAACATATGTGCATGTGTAAACACACACACACAGATATTCATATATTCATGTGCAATTTAATCTTGGAATAGAAGCATTTTCCTTAACTTTCTTTTGGTTATATGTTATTAATGTTACCAACTATTCCACCTATAAGAGCTATCATTTAAGGATAGCAATATATAAGACAAGTAGCAAGTCGTTAAATTTATTACACAAATGATTCCCTCCTTAACAAAGACTAACTTACCCTGGATAGTGACTAAGAAAAAAACAATTCAGTAATAAGACACCTGTCTCCCACATACTTACTCAAAATTTTAACTAAAATCCATCTATGGAATGAGATAAGTTTGTAGTAAGTGATAGCTCAGCCATGTAGCTTAAATTACTTAAAAATAAGAAAAAAATTCAACTTCAAACCCAATTTATTAAAGAAAATTTCAATTTGATTAACTGATGATCATTTAAAACAGAAACCTGCTATTGAGTTTTAGAAGAAACAAAATAAGTAAAAAAAAATTGATAAATTAAGATGAGAGCAATTATGTACACAAGAGAACCAACAGAAAAAAATAAAATTCCATTTTGTGTTTAATAATTCAACTTTGCAAAAAAATTAAAAGTGAACTAGGATGGTTTCTGAAGATTATACAAGCATGTATTAAACTGGCAGAAATCATTATCATACTATGTGAATACAGACTCCAGAATCATGATTACTGAAAGATTTTCAGGTTGTTTTGCATGTGTTGTTCCCTAGGCCATATGGCACTCCTGTTTGACTGTACAAATCCCAAGACATACTAGTACAATGGTTTCCAGGTACGTACTATGCAATAAACAGTACAACAAGGTGTACTCAGGACCAAAATAAAACAAAAGAACTACATATTCATGAAGTCTATGGACATATTCATAGGTTTAATGTTTTTCGTATACACCTAACATGAGCCTTTGGTTACATGATTTAAATAACAAAAAAATTTATGATAGAATCATAAGTTTTAAAGATGAGACAGATCTTAGAAATCTATTTTTAATATATAAAATGTCTCTACCTGCATAATTCATTACAGTTCAACATTGTACATGCTCTATTAAACATAGAAAGTTTTCAGACTCAACAATAATCTCTTTAGTAATATATATGATATATTCCCTCAATGGACCAAGAATGATAGACCATTTTTATTTCAGTAATAAAAAATATCAAATTCAAAAACACAACCTTATTGTGCTACACATTATATATTTTAAACTTAATATATGAAGTAATTATAATCTGCAAATTAAAATCTACTACCGACAGAAAAATGAAAGTAGTAGCTGTTAATGGGAAATATTCTAAAATTCATTGTACATTCATCTAGTATAAATTACACAAACCACAAATCCTTAAGACTATGGGGAAAAAAAATGTAACCAGCAAAACAGTGCTATATATGGCAGAAATTATTTGTTTAATCAAATTCATTTATTTTCTTTTAGTATAAAATGATCCAGACCTTAAAACAAATTGTTTAAACAAATTTATATTAAGTAAAAATAATTACAAAAAGTGTGGATCAGTTGTTTGAATGGTTTTAATATGGACCTAAGATGCATCTAGGCAATTAATTCTATTTATCTAATATAAATTGCATTTGTGTATCTAAGAGCAGAATTTTTACCACAAAAATTGGGGGCAGTTATTTATTTTAACGAAGAATGAGAATAAGATAATTGAGTCAATAGTTTGATTAATTCAGAGGTAAAGTACAATGGACAATTCTATCATTTTGTCACTGAGAATTCCATGTTTTTAGAGTCATAGGACACATACAAGAAGCAATTATATCCAATGTATGACTCCATTGTATTTGTACCCTCTGACTCAAGTACTGGTCATCGCTAACAAGCAAGTGAATTTTCTTTGGAATAATTGAAATGGAATATCACAAATTATGAAACTTCTCAAACAGAACAGTAAAGTATATTGGTAATTAACTATTAAGTGCAAACATATATATGAAAAATTATCTTCAATTCTGAGCTCATGATTTCTTAATTATAACTGAATAGAGTTTAAATTACACACCTGAACATTTTCAAGAATCTCCTGGACACGAGTCAGTAAAGCTTTCTTCCTATTAACCTGCTTTCTTGCTTCTACATCAAGTGCTTTTTGCTTTTCTTGTTGCATTTCCTTTCTTTTCTCAATATTAAGCTACAAAACATAATAAATAAGGATTTCTCATAAATATACAAATAGCATAAAACCAGTAAGTTTTGAATCAGAGTGACTAAAACTATAGAGAAAGAAATCTGAAATGGTTCAGGGTAATTGACAGGGATCAGTGGTGATGAAAATGTTCTGTGTGGGTGTGAGTTATACAAGTGTACAACATATATTAAAATCCATGGAACTTTAATACCTAAGATTTGTGCATTTTACTGTATGTAAATTATTCTCAACTAAAAAAAAAGTTAAAAGGAAAAAACAAACCTTCTCAAATACTCTAAAATGAGTTATAAAATCAGCCCTTTTGGCCACTGCTGATCTTTTCACTTGGCAATACCTTACTTCAATGGGTCAGTTAGATTCTAATATTCTAAAAAAAGTACATTTTAACTCTTTTCTACCTCAAGAAAATATCCAAAGGGTTAATGATAAAGAAATAGATGATATTTTATTTGCCTACAAAATCAGTACACAGATTTGGTTCTACTTCATTGTAACCTCCACTAAAAATATAATGTACCTAAAAAACCGAAGGCTTCTATGCATTATATCTTTTTACAGTGGGTTTAAATCTTAATTATTAAGTTCTGGGAAATTTAGTCACTGTGTTAAGACTTATTTTAGACTTATGCAAATGAAAAACATGCTATAAAAATTTTTCCAAAGTTGCAATATTCATCCATCAAATCTATAATAACAAAAGGGTAATATGCTAATTAGACTGGATGTCTTCCCGATGTCATTCTGGGTGTCCTTCCTGATGAAGCTGGGGCCGGAGGGAAGCCAGCTTGGGTCCCAGGTGCCTGCCAGTGGCGGCCGAAGGAGGGAAGCTGGTGCCGGCAGCAGGGGAAGGGAAGGCCTACTCTTGCACAAATTATTGTGCATAGGGCCTCTAGTTTAACATAAAAACATGGATTAAAAATAAAAACATGGATTAATGTCCATAAATATCAGATTTTGCTTATACATAAGAACTGATGGAAGTCATAGATCCTAAGCTGTTAAGGTGTAGACATTTTGGTCCATATTAAACTGATCAAGCAATATGTCATCAGGTAGCTGATAAAAATGTTATAAAATTTTTTCTATTTGCATGGTATCAAAGAATCATTCCACCCTTGCTAATAAAATCATTCCATTTACTTGCTAATAAAAAAGGGGAAAGAAGATACCTTTAAAGAATCATCTGATAGGCACCTCTATAAAAACAAGTATTCGAACTGAACATCAAACTAGAGGAACTAGATATTTTGTAACTTCTGATTTAATTTACTATGTACTAA